AAGCCCATATGATGGGGCAGATAGTGGAGTTGTCTGTGGTGATGATGACAGGATTGGATGGGAAGATAAGTTCATTTTTCTCCCTGTTGAGATGTAGATGGAGGGGGGACATCTGTGAGGAGCTGACAGAAAGGCAGTCAGAGACGTGAGGACGGCAGAGTCAGAGGAATGGGGTAGAGAACTCCAAAATTCCTATCAACTTCAATAGGCTTGGAATGAGTCCCATACTGAGGAGATCAATCCGCACTGCCAGCAAAGTGAATAGTTTGACCTAATAAGTCTTTTGCAGTTCTAATCTTTATAATTCCAGGTGGCAGTCTCTAGCAATAACTGAATGGTCATGAAAACTGAATTACTTTCTCCTTCCTAGCGGTGATCACTCCGGGTCAGTTCTGGGGGCAAAAATCAGGAAGATTGATCAGTCATTAACAGTGTTGTACATTGTCTGTGGATAAATAGGACACAGACTTCAGGGCCATCAATTAGGAAACTTTCTTGAGGACTAAACTTGGAAAACGAGAAAATATTTCAGTTGGAGAGCACTCTCTGTGGGTGGCAGTTTTAGAACGAAGTGAATAACTTGTGGGGAGCAAAGTGGAAATCACTTAATGAAACTTAATGGGCAGCGTTGCTTTTGAAAGTCTTTCTGGAATGTTATTGTAAAGCTATATACTGATTTGGACCTTGTCAAGTGTCATAGGTCTCTATGCTTTCACGTTGTGAGTTTTCAGACAATGACTGAGCATGAAAAGCAGATACAGGAGGAGGAACTACTGAAAATGAATATCTCCTTGAAAATGTACCAACTCAGAAAGAAGAGAGTCTGTGGGTCAGGAAACATACTCTTGAACTGAAGTATGAAAGGAAGGAACTAACTCAAACACTTGTTCAGCATTGTGACTAGTTGCAATGCTTTGGCTCATACCCTATGAAAACACTAATTGGAGAACTAAATGACCTATTATTTTGAGGTCAGCACACTAAATTCTTTTGTGTCATGCTCCAAAACCTCTCAGGACAAGTTCCTTAGCTACAGTCACACATACATTAGATAACAGGCCACTGCAGACATTTACATTTTTATTTTTTAAATTCTAGGCAAGGATGACATTTCTTGTTCCCTTTCCAATTTTTGTTCCTAATCCTACATCCACCCAAGCTGCCAACTGCAGTACTCCAAGTTCACAGTCCAACTCCCTTTGAATTTGCTGGCAATATTATGGACTGCCTTGAATTTTATGATATTTGATCAGGACCCAGATGATTTTGGTGGCAGTAGGATCACACTCCTTGTAGATGAAATGGTTTATATTATTGTAAGGCAGTGATGTGGATTTGTAACTTCTGGGTGTGTTGATGTGGTTCCACTATAGTCGTGACTTAACACATTTCAGGCCCAAGTCTCCTTTTGCTACCTCAGTGTAAGTTTGGAGTAATTCCATTGAAGTCAGTGCAGTTACTAGTGTAAAAGTCAAGAAAATAAGGTGCTTGCTATTGGATTTGATCCTATACTACCACCTGTTATACAGTGGTCTAGTGTGTATGCCTATTTTCTCCATAGACTATCATTTTAAATTGGAAATATGATTTCCCTGCTGTTGTGAATTCTCTGTGCCATTCCAATAGAGAGTGAGAGAGCCTGTTGTCATGCCAACAAAAGAATGGTGAGGTGTTTACTTGAAAGTGAGTTCTGTACAAGCATTCATAGCAAGCTATGTCTGATGATCAGTGTTTGAACTAACCTTAAGAGAGTCTGTTCTTCCTTCAAAATATTTGCTCTGTTTATGTAGTTTTACCCCAGGATATAAGGAAGATGGCTATTTGAGAGCAATACCCTGGACACAGTGTATGCTTTTGTTTTCAAAAAGCACTCTTGAGTTCAGTAATGGAAAGCATACCTAGACTACAAATAGCGGCACATGGAAAAGCCAACCAGTCAACTGTCTGCTGCTTATATAAAGAGAGTTTGTAGCGAAGAGACTTCTTTTTAAAACGAATCCTATGGTAACTCACTTTTATAATTATTTAATATTTTTTGTTGTATACTGTATTTGGGTTTAAGAGGAGTGTGAATTGTGATATTTTACCTCACTGAGCCTTTTACGAATTTGTACTGTACTAGGGGACATATTAGTTATTAATTCTTCACAAATGCCTATTATACAATATACAAAAAACAAGAAAAAGCATGTGTGTAATATTCAGACATTGCAAATAAATCATTTTCTGTAGTAATATATGTCATGTATGAAAAGAAAGTGTAAGTGCAAAGTAACATTATATAATTATTTACCTGACTATCTGGTTTTAATAGTGTACCTTTTATTGTACTTTCAGAATTAAAGTGTTTACTAGCAGAATATTGTCTTCTTAGAAGGAGTATGGATTTTTAGGTTTGCAATCAAGTGTCTGGAGAAACTGTATATAGTTTTGGCCACTCTGAATGAACAGAGTTTATTATACAACTGAAGAATTACATGAAGTTAAAAACGCAGTGTGGGTTATTAATATTTGAAATTCTTCAAAAATATATCAGTTTGATGTTGGTAAACAGGTATTATTTAAAATTAGAGATGCACAGAACTTTTGTATGTTCTTTAAGAATGTTTGCTTTGCTGTCACTGGATACTTCTACTCAATAAGACAGTGCATCCAGACCCTTACTGTGTGTGTTGTGGGGAGGAATCTGGTGAGAATGTTCTGTATGATTAATTGTTCTGAGAGTGTATGAAAATCTAGTCTAGCCATCCTCTAACCGCATGATTTATAGTTTGAGATAGAATTGAAGAAATTTTCATAGCTTGGAGCTCTATTTTGCAAGTTGGTGAATACTCCCATAAAATCAGTTTGTTCTGTGCCTGTACAGCACCAAGCACAATGGGTCTTGCAGTAGTGCCTAGGATTCCAAATAATAAAGGGAGCTCGTCTCCCACAGGAGCACACTCGGCATGCTGCAGAATCAAGCCTTTCGTCAGCCCAGAAGTTGTATTTCTCTGTTGGTCTCCAGAAAAGTTCAGTAATCTAGATCTTAAAAATTATCTTTGACCAAAACAGGGATGTGCTGGGAGCTGTCATTTTGAATTATGCAGCTTGAGAAATAATAATTTTGTGCCTTAACCCAGCCACCAGCAATATAATCAGTGTTGATGTAAAAAGTACTTTTGGATTAAGAAAGGACACCGTATCAGTGAGAGTGGGGAAAGTGACTAGCACAAGACCAGAAATGATAAGCAGCATAGCTGGATTTGTCAGACATTCATAAACATCGATGGCAAACCATGTATTAATCATCTGTTTTTCTTACAAGCTTTAAAGTTGTGGACATGTGCCAGTAAAACAGGACACATTTTATGTAGCACACTCTTTTCTGGTGTCATACCTGATGAGCTAACCGTAACTCATTTCCTGTGTCAACAAAACCAACTGGTTAAGATGGTAATTAACCACATGTCTATCACTGGTACCCTCATCCTTCCTCCTCCACTCCCTCCATGTGTTGCACACAAATTAGATAAGAATTTCCAAGACAGGGGCTGTTTTTTGGTATCACCATCCAGCACAATGGGGCACTAATCTTACTGGGGACTTTGAGTGCTACTGTGAAAGTAGTTTTGTTAAATTAAATTCTGGGGAAGTTAAACAAATTCAGTGGATCGGGATACATTTTGATAAACATCATTGACTCCACACACATTTGTAACTCCCAGGATTTCTCCCCCATACTGTTTCTCTCCCCTGTTAGTCCCTCTTCAGGGATTCCCCATCGTTTTCTATATTGTTTTCCAGGAGTGGCAATTTGGAACACAGCCTTTCTTTTGGCCAGCTGGCGCTAAACCAGCCATCAATTTTCATTGTACTCCAGGGACTGACTCAGATCTCATTTATTCAGTTTTTACATGGATGTAACTCCATTGACTTCAGGGGAGTTGCTTACACTGTCATAAATCAGGAGTGAGATTAGAATTGGTCCCCAGCAGTGGAGATTCCAGAATATGCAACCTCTTGAAAAAGGTCAGCCAGCATTTTTGCTGTGTTCTGGTGAGAGAGAGAGAGTCAGGTCTAGCAGTATGGCACTTTATTATGCATAATAGAGTCCTTGATGGGTTAGGTGGCCCAGTGGTTAGCAAACCCAGTGCCACCTCCTGGTACCACCCCTTCCCAGAGGCCACGCCCCCCCCACTACATTCCCCCCCGCTCGGTGGCTCGCTCTCCCCCACCCTCACTTACTTTCACTGGGCTGGGGTAGGGGGTTGAGGTGCGGGAGGGGGTGAGGACTATAACTGGGAGTGCAGGCTCCAGGGTGGGGCCAGAAATGAGGGGTTCAGGGTGCAGGAGGGGGCTCC